GCATCACACAATAGGCGCCATTCTTGAAGCTCCAAAGACAATGATACTCGTGGATGGCTGCTTCTTAGTTGAATTTTAGGTATTATTTTTCCATTTATGTCTAGTTCTGCTCCAACGACAACTTGCTTTGTAAATGATGGATTCAAGTTGTAAATTTTTGATAATAACATTTCTCCACATGGTAAATATGACATTTTATGTCTTCTACTGGTCAACTCCCTCAGGAACAAACTCTATCTGATTGTAAGGTCCTCCACGATTTCTTAAATATACACCACCTCTGACAGCTTCAGCTTTTAGACTGTTGAAAAGATTTGCATCCTCTTCAAATATTTTTAGCATTCTTGGTGGTAGGAAAATGTTAAATTCATTATTTATTTCAGCAACAATTTTCGGACCAAATTTCGTATCAATTTTTCGAATGTCTGTTACTTTATAGAATGCATCGATGGTTAACTCCTTTGTTGTTTTGGTGACCAAGACTTTGCTTGCTTTGTTTAATTTATCGAAATTCATTTTCATCACTTAAATTTAAATTTTCAAATTTTTTTATTAAAATATTTAACTGCGACCTTGCTTCAATTAAACTTTTAACTTTATGTATTTCTTGAATTAATTTGTTCAAGCGCACTTGAATTTCACGACGTAGTTCTGCTAATATGTTCATTAACCAACTTAAACTGCTGGAATGATTTCGTTTATAAAAATTGCCCTCTTTATATACATGAGATATGACCTATTTGACCTTCAAGTTAATTATAGATTTCTTGGAATTTCGGTAAGATCAAAAGCATTCTTATGAAAAGAACCAAAAATGTTTGTAAAAATTCCTTAGATAAGAATCTAATAAACAGTGATTTGCAATATTTAGACGAAAATAATAATTCCAAGAATAAAATAAGTAAAAACAAAAACAGGAAATACTAATGATAATGAGTCATCAATGAAAAATTCCAAAACTGAGTCATCAACCCCTATTTTCGAAAAACAAAGAAATTATGTGTCATCGTTAAAAAATGCACCCTGTAAAAACAAAAACAGGAAATACCAATCATTATGAGTCATCAATGAAAAATTCCAAAACTGAGTCATCAACCTCTATTTTGCAAAAAACAAAGAAATTATGTGTCATCGTTAAAGAATGCACCATGTAAAAAACAAAAACAGGAAATAGCAATGATAATGAGTCGTCAACCCCATTTTGCGAAAAACAAAAAAATTATGTGTCATCGTTAAAGAATTCACCCAAAAAATAGGAAATACCAATAAAAAATTCCAAAATTCTGAGTCACCAACCCCTATGGAAAATTCAAGGATTGTTTTATAATATGAAGTTATAATTCCAAGAAATTTGATAAATTCCAAGAATCACGATCTCAATATCCCCCCCCCAATTCTTGGAAGTATGACGTCATATCCAGCTCAGCATAACAGTCTGAATATCCCCCCCCTAATGGTTTGAGTCTTGGCTAAGTGGTTTGAGTCTGGGCTAAAGTGTCGGTAACATGTCGGTGCAGGGATCTTGAGTTAGAACGCTCCCTGCCTATCTACTTATATATAATATTTATATATAATTCTTAAAATAAAACAATATATATATATATATTATTTAGGTTAATGATTATATGAAACAATAAAATTTTTAATCAAATAAAAACAATTATTTGCTTATATTAATTTTCTCATGTTCTTGGATTAAGACTAAGATGTATTTGAACTAAGTAAAAAACTGTTTTAAAGGAAACAAAAAAATTATTTGATTCAAGAAAATATTCCTTTATTCGATGGAGAAAATAAATTACTTCAATCAAGAGAATGTAATATTCTTTCAAGAAGTTCGATGTTTTTGAAACATGATAATATAGTTTTAAAACAAACAAAAAAATGATTTGATTCAAGAAACCGAAATACTCCACGTAACATACTTAAGTCAAGAAAATAAAATTCTTGATTCAAGAATTTTTTACTACTTTGCGCAAGTAAAATAATTTGCTTGGAATAATAATATATTTAATTGCATTGAACCCACATTTTCTTAATCCAAGTACATTGTCCAATGCTAATATTTTCTTGACACAAGAATATAAATTTCTTCAAATAAGAAGATATGAGATTGTTTCAAGTAAAATAGATCAAGTAAATGCATTTACTTGATTCAATTAACTTTTTTTTCAGTGGAGGCATATTTAAAGTCCAACGATCGTTGCGCCACACAATTCAACATACTGTTTTATCGACAATCCAAAATGAACCAACAGAGGTTAATAGATTGACATTTCTCAAAAAATTTACCAGGAAGATCAAAGTTGCCTTTTAGTCACATTTAATTTCCATTTTTATTTCGATGTTCGACAAGTTAAAAACTTTGTCCGCTAACAATTTTAAATTAATCTTCCTACGTCTACATAGAAAACGAAGACTTTTAAATGGTAAGTAAAAATAATGGTTAAATAATCTCAAGCTGTCAAAAAAAAATTTTAATGTATTTATGTCATGAATGGAAAATTTTCAATTTTTTAGAATTGTATTTTAATACCAGAAAAAGAAAGTTTATAATTATTGACCATTTTTTATTGTTTTAGAATACAACTTACAACGTTAGTGGGAGTTATCTACTTCAGACATATTTAAAGTCCAACGATTGTTGCGCCAAACAATACTGCTTTACCGACAGTCGAAAACGAACCGACAGTTCTCAGAAAATTCATCAAGAAGATAGAGGACATTTAATTTAATTCTTTTTGTGATATTCGACTAGTTAACAACTTTGTCCGAAGAATTTTTAAAATTATTGAGGAATCTTTCTGAGTCTACATAAAAATCGAAGACTTCTAAATGGTGAGTATAAAAATAACGGTTATGTAATCTCAAACTGTCAATATATAGAAAAAATATTTAAACATACAAAAAAATGTATAAAAACACAAAAATATACATAATTTATAAAAATACAGAAATTTGTTCTTAGGTGCCCATTTTGAGAGCGAGTCATATATATATATACATATATATACACTGAAAAAAAAAGTTCATTGAATCAAGTAAATGCATTTTCTTGACCTGATTTATTTGAAACAAACCCATATTTTCTTATTGGAAGAAATTTATTTTCTTGTGTCAAGTAATTTTGAGCATTGATCAAAGTTATTGAAATAAGAAAATATGGGTTTGACATAAGTAAATATCTTACTGTTTCAAACGAACTGTTTTACATGCGCCAAGTCTCGAAACAGTATTGAATCAAGAATATCATGTTCTCACGTCAAGTAATTTACCTTGAGTCATTTGGTATCTTGAGTCAAATAATTTTTTTATTTCCTTTAAAGCAACTATTTATTTCATCCAACACCCATAGTCTTGAGCCAAGAAAATGGGAAGATTAATACAAGTTAATAATTGTTTCAACTCAATTAAAAATTATTTTGTTTCAAAGAAATATTAATTAATCTAAGCATTTCTTTTACTTAAAGCATTTCTATATTCTCATGTTTCAAAATCATTAATTTCTTGCGAGAATATTATATTTTCTGGAATGAAATATTTTATTTATTCAATTCAATTAAGTGTAAGATCTTGAATTAAATCATTCTTTTGTTTCCTTTAAAAAAGTTTTTACTTAATTCAACGCTCATATAATCCTGATTCAAGAAAATACGAAGGTTAATATAAGTAAATATTTGTTTCAAGTTGATTAAAAATTATATTCAATTAATCCCATATTTATTTGAAGAAAGAAATTCATTTTCTTGTGTCAAGTAATTATTAGCGTTGAACAAAATTCTTGAATTAACAATTTAGTATTTGTCAGAACTCAATATGTAATTATTTCAACCAAATATTTTACTTTTCCGAAGTACCAAAAAGTATTGAATCTAGAATATCATGTTCTTAAGAGAAATAATAAAGTATTGTGTGGAGAATTCATGTTTCTTGAATCGAATCATTTTATTTATTTGCTTTGAAACTTTTTTTTACTTAACACAATGCCAGTGTTCTTGATCCAAGAAAATATTTTTCTTCAAATGTATATGCAACTTAAATATCAGTTTTTGAAAACTGTCCATTGAGGCTAGGATGGCATAGTGGTAGCGTGACGGCTTCTGGTGCGTGCAACCCGAGTTCAATTCCTCCGACCGTGGAAAATTTTCTTTCAAGGTATATTTGTTGTATTTGTGTTAAGTAATAATTAAATGTAAAAATATATGTAAAATAACAATTATTTAATTATTTAAATAAAAAATATAAATGTTAATTAATTAAATAATAAAAATGTTTGACCTAAGTATTAGAAAAGATGGGATGGGGGTAAGGGGGGAGGGTAATTTAAGTAAATAATTTACTTGTATTGAGAAAGTATTTTTTTGATTGAAATCTATAAATTTTCTCAAATCAAGAAAATATTTTCTTGGACAGAGAACATACTTTCTTGATTTGATACATAAATGATTTTGAATTAATATATTCTGCATTTCTTACATGCTACTTAACTTCTTGATCGAATTCCATATTTTCTTGGATCAAGAATATCTGCGTTCTCTCACAAAATAAATTTTTTCTTCATTTAAATCTTGAATTACTTGAACGAACGTTACAAAAAATTGAATGAATCAAATAAAATAATTCAATTAACTATATATATTCTTAGAACAAGAAAATATTTTATACATTTTATATTTCGTACAAGTCGATTAACTTCTTGGTCGAATTCCATATTTTCTTGGATCAAGAATATATGTTCTTCTCCCAAATATCCTATGTCAAGAAAATCGTTTTCTTGAATCAATACTTTAATAGTCTTGGCCGTATTCAATCCCACGATTTGCTTCAACCAAGAAAAATTTTCTTGGTTCAATACTTTTTTTTTCAGTGTATATATATATATATATATATATATATATATATATATATATATATATATATATATATATTTATAAATAAATATAAAAATACAAAAATTTACGAATAGGAATAGAATGGAAAGGGGTTCTATGAAAGCAGTCTTTAGGAACGAAATTCTTTATTAAATAAATTATGTACAGGTTTTTTTTGCGACGAGTCAACGCGCTTTCTATTTTATTTTTCTCAAAAATGTCCGTTCGTCATCGGAATATCGCACGTATAAATAAACACAGTTAAATATCTTTCTACTAAAATACATTGACTTGATAGGCCCTAATTTTCTACTCTATATACAAATTGAGGTTTCGATTTATTTATTATTTTTTCTTAACTCTCGAGAATCGAAAAAGAAAAATCATTAAGCCTTGCGAATGTCGATTTCTATTAACTAGAATCTACTTATTTATATTTAAAGAGAAAGAGAGTTTAAAATCGTATCGAGTTGGGGGAAAATGTCGATTATATTATTATCATCATTATTTTAAAAAAATTCATACTGAAATTCGTTTATATATATATATATTTATTATTATATATTTGATCCAAAGCACCTTTTGTAGAGTGCAATCCACAATTATAAAAAGACAATTATTCAGGATTATCACAGTCTGTGTATTTACAACTTAAATTTTATTATTCTTTTCTTTGCTTAACTTTGTGATAAAAAAATACTTTTTCGTATTTTTTTTGTTTAAATTCTTTTCGTTTGTTTTCTTTTACAAAAATTTGCAAAGAAACGTAAATGCAACGATAATCTCTTTTTATTATTAAGGGAAGAATAAAGCTTGGCGGAGGGAGATTTGTCCTTTTTTCATAAGCGAAAAAAGGTGGGAAAAAAAATTTAACTAGTCTTTAAAAACTTCCTTATTGATCATATATTCATACTTTTATTTCTCTTAAGGAGAAGGAAATGAGATTTTTTTCACTGGATCGTAAAATTTACGATATGTTTTTTTTGTGAAGATTAAAAATAGAAATTGATGTCAAGTGATGAAATCTTTTTTTTTCAATAAAGAACGTCTTAATGTATTAGTAAAAAAATGTTCCTTCTCCTTGATTGCAACTTCCGTTTATTTGATAAAAAAACGAAATTTTTCTAATTTTACCCTTTTTTCGTTAAATTTGTTAATTTTTTTTCTTCTGCCTTTGAAAGGCAGTGGACGTACATTTTTTTCTATAAATTATGAAAAAAGTTTCGAGGACGAACCGTTTGATAACCCCCCCCTCCTTAACTTTTGCTTACGGCTTTTGTGAATTGGGAATGGGAAGTTGAAACTAGGCTTAAGGACGGTTAAAAGGCTTGGCGAAAAAAAAGTTGAAAGTTTTCTTTTCATCTTCTTTTTTTATCGAGCAAAGCCGAGAAAGTCCGTGAGTCTGTCGTTCCAATCGTGGAGCCAGTGCGAAGGGCCGTGAGCGGTTCTTCTGTGCTTGCAGGGATTCACCTCCTTCTCGGGTGGCATGTACTCCTCGCCCCTTATGCAAAAGTAGCTTTTAATTGGACTGCGACACATGGGACACCTGTCCAATTTCCCGAAACACGAGGCGCAAATGCACGTGTGTCTGAAATTGAAAGAGAAATTAATTAAAAGGGTAAAGAATATTTTTGTTCAAATCTGCTTACTCTTTTCACTGCAGAAACAAAATTAAAGTCAAAATTTTAGTAGCGCAAGAGAAAAGAATACTTTGAGTGAGGGCCAAAAAACTAAGAAAGAAAAATCTTAATTTTGAGGTTAGGTTGCGTCAAGGAAAACAGGAAAGGAAAAGGAAAACATGTGGAAGAGAATGAATGGATTAAAAAAATGTTTAAAGGAAGTGAAAGAGGGGAAGATTAGAAATTCGAGGAAAGTTAAAATGACAGGCACGGATCCAGGGGGGGCACAGTGACATGCCCCTTCCCCCCGAGAATTCAAACTTCCTGGAATTTTTTAAATAAAAATTTCATTTATGAAAGGTTATCAAGCTAGCGTCTAGCAGATGCCCCCCCCCAAGAACCTTGTCTGGATCTGCCCCTGGAAAATGAGAGTATAAAGTTGAAAATGGAAAAATTGTCGAGGCGAGTTGATCCAGTGAAAGTATTAAAAATACGAACCCCGGCAAGAAGGCTGGAATTGGATGGATTTAAAGTTATCTCACGTTCGTACACGGAGGTGAAAAATATTAATTCTTTTTAATACCTGACTTTTCCACTTATTCTAGTTTCACGGAGTAGGATAAATCGCCAATAAAGTGAATTCTACTTAACCCCTTAACTGCCGGCTGAAAAACACTAAATGTGCCCAGAATGCCAAGAATAAAAAATCGTCCAATTTGTCTGAAACTTGTTAGTCAGGGGTTTTCGGAGTCGCTGATTACGAATCTGATGTCGGTTTTTCAAAATTCAAAATGGCGGATCCAATATGGCGGACGGATTTTTAAAAATTGATCAAAATTAACTGAAATTTGTTACTCGGGGGGTTTCGGGGTCCCTGACTATGAATATAATGATGGTTTTTCAAAATTCAAAATGGCGGATTTAATATGGCGGACTTTTTTTTTTTGGATTCGCTTAAAAATTATCATTAGGGGGTTTTCCGGGGTCGCTGATGATGAATCCTATGTCAGTTTTAAAAAATTAAAAATTGCTGATCCAATATGGTGGACATTTTTTTTTAATTTTGGATTCGCTTGAAACTTGTCACTCGGGGATTTTCGGGGTCGCTGATTACGAATCTGATTTCAATATTTCAAAATTCAAAATGGCGGATCCAATATGGTGGACGGCTTTTTAAAAATTGATCAAAATTACCTAAAATTTTTTACTCGGGGGGTTTCGGGGTCCCTGACTAGGAATATGATGATGGTTTTTCAAAATTCAAAATGGCGGATCCAATATGGCGGACATTTTTTTTTAATTTTGGATTCGCTTGAAAATTATCATTAGGGGGTTTTCGGGGTCGCTGATGACGATTTCTATGTCAGTTTTTCAAAATTAAAAATTGAGGATCCATTATGTCGGATATTTTTTTTTAATTTTGGATTTTCTTGAAAATTATCACTCGGGGGTTTTTGGGGTCGCTGATGACGAATCGGATGTCTGTTTTTAAAAATTCAAAATGTCGGATCCAATATGGCGAACATCTTTTTAAAAAATTTTTGTTTTTATCATAAAAGCAGAACAAATTTTACAAATGCCGGTTTCATAGAACAGCTATAAAGAGAGTGCAAAAATTGAAATTCCATTGAAATGTCCTCACCTTTCTAATAAGTTCATAAGTGAAGTGGATCTCCACGGTATGCCATATTGGATCCGCAATTTTAAATTTTTAAAAACTGACATCGGATTCGTCATCAGCGACCCCGAAAACCCCCGAATGATAATTTTCAAGCGAATCCAAATTTTTTAAAAAAAATGTCTGCCATATTGGATCCGCCATTTTGGATTTTGAAAAATCATCATCATATTCGTAATCAACGATTCCGACAACCCCCGAGTAACAAATTTCAGGTAAATTGGATCAATTATCAATTTTTAAAAAAGTCATCCGCCATATTGGATCCGCCATTTTGAATTTTGAAAAACCAACATCATATTCGTAATCAGCGACCTCGAAAACCTCCGAGTAACAAATTTCAGGTAAATTGGATCAATTTTTAAAAAAGTCATCCGCCATATTGGATCCGCCATTTTGAATTTTAAAAAACCATCATCATATTCGTAATCAGCGACCCCGACAATCTCCGAGTAACAAATTTCAGGTAATTTGTTTCAATTTTTAAAAAAGTCGTCCGTCATATTGGATTCGCCATTTTGAATTTTGAAAAACTGACATCATATTCGTAATCAGCGACCCCAAAAACCACCGAGTACTATATTTCAGGCGATTTTATACATTTTTAAAATAAAAATGCATTGTATTGTCCATGGCAAAGATTTTGAAAAATTTGCAAAAAATGTTGTTTTTAAAAATTTATAACATTTTTATAATTTATTGAATTTAAAAACAGAAACGTGCGTCGCATTCTACATAGCGTTGACTTTTTAGAAATCATTTTATTTTTAATTTTCATCCATTTTTGACTTTTTTACATCAATTTTTATCATGGCAAAGATTGTCAGTTTTCCGGCAGTCAGAGCAAAGTCTGAAATGGCAAACATCTTTGCCATCGGCAGTCAAGGGGTTAATTCTAAAATTTAAAAGCTATTATCAGCTGTAAATTTGTTTCCGGTTAAAAAGAATAGAATACGAATTTTTTTAATTCTTTTTAATTGCTGCAAGAAAAATATTTTAATTTAAATGTTTAAGGTTGGAATGAATGATTGGGTGAATGAAGAGAAATGAAGTCGATAGGAATGAAGATGGAGATTAAGGATTTAAAGGGGTGGGGCGTTAATGGAAAATCAATCAGTATGGATAAAGGGAACTGGAAACGGAAGCCCTGGCACTGGCGATTTTTGAGTGGATGATTGTGATGAGAATAGGATAAGTTGCGTGTAGGTTAAGTTTTGTTGATGTGCGGGACATAAGCGGCGTTATAGATTAAGAAATTTTGTATATACATTGAAAGAATTTAGGCAGGCTGCTGGCTTTTCAAGTCCGAAATTAGTGCCCCTTGCACAGAGCTTGCAGCTCACCTCAAAAAAGCGAGCATCTACTCCAGAAAGGTGAGCAGCTGCCCCTGAGGAGTTGCTGCTTACCTTTCGGGAGTAGATTCTCGCCTTTTTAAGGTTAACTGCGAGCTTGAGGCAGCGAGCTCTAGCAGCACTCAGGTAAAGCCTGCAGCCTGCCCAAAATTCTTTCAGTGTATGAGGCTCCGGATCTTAAAAGGGCACTTTAACCATGTAAAGTCTATGCGGAAAGTGCCCTTTTAAGATCCGGAGCCTCATATATAGAATAAGTTGACTTGTGAATGTATTTGGGAGTCTCGAACCCTCCTTATTGCAGGGAGAGTAAATAAACACATAATAATAATTAATGAGAAATTAAAAATTTTCGTAATTTTTTATTTAATTGAATTAAATTAATTTTTTTAAATTTTGGGTAAAGTAAATAATACAAAAAATAAAATTTATTATAGAAATAGGTTAATAACAAATATAATAATAACAAACACTTCCTAGTCAAACAAAAAATTAACCAATCAAAATGGTTACGGGAAAAAACGATGAAAAGAGAAAAGAGATAAATGGTTTTGTTCAAGGTGATTTCAGTCAGATTTGTAACAAGTTGTAATGTGCTTGTCTTTTTAACCGGCTCCACGTGCATATATATAATATGGTGCAAATTAAAACGTTGTTACATTTTAGTAAATAAGAAGATTACAATTATGTTGTTGTCAATAAAAGTAATTAATAATCAGTTCAAGTTCTTCGAGTTTTTGAGATGCATGTCATTCGGACCTTTGTAGGTTAGAATGACACGCATCTCTCATGTAATTTGAATTACCTGAATTACAGAAATTCTCTTTCATTGTAGGTTAGAATGACATACATCTCTCATGTAATTTAAATTACCTGAATTACAGAAATTCTTTTTCAAATTTTAGGTTGTTATTCTTGTTTTAATAAATTGAATTAATTTATTTTCAAATACTCCTAATACAATTTCTTAAAACAAGAATAACTTCTAATTTTTTATACCAGCACAATACTCAACATAGGGGAAAGGTGTACGAGATGATCCTTCTAAGGGAAAAAACCTATTATTGAAAAAAAAATTAACATATTCGAGTTTTTTTTGTACGCACTACTAGATAATTAATCTATCTAACTATTCACTTACCCTAAAAATAAGAACAATTCCCTAAGCTGTTTGATTAAGAACCAATTCCACTTCTGACTCTTTTATCTTTGGCGATTTTTCCGTTATTCTTAACGAGACACTACCCGATCTGTTTTCGGAAAAAGACCGCGGAATTTCCACCGGAATTGATTCCGAAGACCTACTCGCCTGCTCGAATATCAATCACCACTCAGAATCTACTGATGATCCTTTTGTGATCCCGAAACCGATGATTTTGTAGTAACCCAGCCGAAAGCCCCGAAACAAAAATGATATTCCCAAAACACAAAATCCTAATAATAACAAAGAATTCTGTGTCTAAGAATATCTTAGACAACCCCACCCCTTTAAAGCATTAAATGAACACAAAACAATATTGAAGATTGATATTATAACATTCATTTCAGAAACTTAATAAGATCTCTCTCAGGAAGTCCACATACGCACAAAGATTAACTTTAAGTTCATTTTAAAATATCATTGACTAACTTTACGACTGAGAAACTCTGCAATTATTGAACGAGGCGGAACCGCTTGCCTTCGCAAGAGGCCGTTTTCGGCCCTCTTTTAGAAGGGGAGTGTTGTGACGTGGCAAAAATTTTAGAGAAATTTGTAAACAAAATTAATTTATAAAATTATAAACAAACAAACTCCCTCACGCCGATCAACAATGGCTGCAGCAATTTCTCAGTTCTGGTCAAAATATTTATTTATAGAATTTATTTATTAATATTATTGTATTCCCTTTTCATGAAAAACTTCCAAGCAAATTCAAAATCGAGACGTTTCCCGGTAATCGCC